TTTGTCTTTCTTCATTGGAAATACTTTATTCAAAAGTTGACATGTAATATGATGAGCATAAAATGATGGCTCAAAACTTTTTTCAAAAGTTGACATGGCTCAAAGAGGGTGATTTTCTATTTGAGCTTGCCTTTTGCTTTGCTAATAATTTACTGATTTTACATTCACTTTTCTAGTGGAAGTGATGGTATTATTTGAATAAAATAAACAAAAAGTTTATGTAAGGCGAGGCTCTAAAATATCAAATTAAATCGCCCCTCAAAAATTTATTAGAAGAGGTTGTTTCAATGCCCAAAATTCCTCGAATTAATCATCTCAACCTCAAGATGTACGAACATGATAAAAAAAAAGGATTTCAAGTCTTGAAAATAGCACATCTTGTAATGCATTTTTGGACCGTCAATTTTCAAGTGTTCATATATCTGTTCGATTTACACTATTTTTTAAGCTTTAAATTTTATAATTACATATGAAAATAAACTTTCAGGCTATCACAACAATTTCAGTATTGAAATAACATCTTTCGAAACTATTTGAAGGCACATTTTACTTTGATGGTTTAGGGCATTAGCCTTATCAAAACCACACCGCTTAGAATAAATGAATACTTACCTCTATTGTTCGTACTTCTCATTTAGGTTTCCTACAGCTAAATTAAACATTCCCAACCGCAAGATTTCGGCATTGGATGGTCAGGATGGTCGGTTAGAGTTTGTTTGAAAAATTCGATTGGACTTAAGAGCAGAAGAATTGCATAAATCACTGTTGTTGTCGATATACGACGGTTGGGGGCTTACTTTGATCGTTTGGCCTCGGCCTTAGGAAAACCACACCCTTAGAATAAATGAATACTCGCCTCTATTGTCCCGGACTTCTCAATTGGGTTTCCTACAGTTGAATAAAACATCCCCAACCGCCAGATTTCGACAACGGATGGTCAGGATGGTCCATTGGAGTTTGTTTGAAAAATTTGACAGACTTAGAGCAGAGGAATGGCATAAACCAACTGTTGTTGTCGTTATAGGAAGGTTGGGGGAGTGCTAAGATACTGTAGGAAACCCAAATAGTTAAATGGCATATCTTTTGTCCCACTATATTAACATCATTTTCCAAAGTAGTGAAAATGGAGCAACTCATAAGTGGATAGAGACTAAGAGCGTTTTTGTTATTTTTATATAGTAAGCAGTTGGAGCATTACATAATAAGTTGGGGCCCTTGTCATGGAGCACAATTGACTAAAAAATAAATAAATAAATACCTATAAAAACCTCCAATTCCAATCATGATTATGTTGAAAATAAAAAGGGAGATTTAAAAAGCCCTTCTCTTCATTCATTCAGTAGACTGTAAGTAAATTTATCTTTTCTAGAATAAAAATTGCTTCAAAATCCAAAGAAGCCTGGGCTATTTTGAAAAATGAATTTCAGAGATTTGAAAAAGTGATTTCTATCAAACTCCAAAATTAATGGAGAGAATTTGATTATTTGATCATGAAAGATATTGAAGTTGTACAGAACATTTTTCCTAATGTTGCTAGAATAATAAATCAGATTAGATGTTATGGCGATGATATTCTTGATAAAAAAAAATAGTTCTGAAAATTTTGAGAAGCTTGCCCATAAAGTTTGACTATGTTATAGCTGTCATAAATTTTTATTACAAGAATTAAGTGGGTTTCTTGAAGCAAATGTGCAAATAATTAACAGATTTTTAAACTAGAATATAGAACAAGCTTTCCGTAAAAAATGTTAATTTCGAAAAATATTGAAAAAAATAAAGAAATGGGGACATTTCAAAATTATCAAAGAGATCGTGGAAGACAAATTTTTTCAATAGGCTAAGGAATAGGAAGAAATAATTTCAATAAAAGCCACAAAAATATGAATCTTACTGTATTATTTGCAAAAAAATCAGGGCATGAATCCAGGGATTGCCGATATAAATGTAAAAAATGTAGAAAACCCAATCATTCTCAAAGAGATTTTTGGTTTCAACAGAAAAATGAAGTACATTTTTTTGAAAAAAATAATAATACATGCCCTATGTTTTATTATTGCATAAATTTTCAACAGAATTTACATGATATTTGGTATCTGGATAGTAGATAAAGCAATCGTATGATAGGAAATCGAAACAGTTTTGTTGATATAGATGAAAAAGTCACTTCTCAAGTCAAGCTCGGTGATGGGAAGCTCTAAAATGTTGAAGAAAAATGAGTAATTGCAGTAAAACCAAAAGGAGGTAATCCTAAATTAATTTCTAATGTACTTTATGTTCCTGGCTTGACTCACAAACATGGTTTTCTGGAAGTGTCGTTCTAATGCAACCATTCAAGGAAATCACCGCCTTTTAAGTATTGGTCAATTGATGAAAAAAGGGTATTTAGTTTCAATAGAGATGAATGTGTAATTTTTTATAAGAAAAATAAATAGACTGTAGCCAAGGTGAAAATGATCCCAAATAAGGTTTTTCCTAAGGTGATGCCGTCATGTGAAAATTATGCATTGATTTTTGAAAATATTGATAAATCTTACATGTGCCATTTAAGATTTGGGCATTTAAATTTTCAAAGTTTGAAATTGATGAATCAGAAAGGTACGGTAATTGGACTACCACCAATAAATGAAGAAAGAAAAATATGTAAAGGATGTATCTATAGAAAATTACATAGATTGTTATTTTCAAAGTCATCTTGGAGTGCAAGAGCTCCATTGGAACTGGTCCATGCAAACATCTGCTGACCGACTCAAACAGAAAGTTTTAATAAGAGATGATATTTTCTTTTAATTGTTGATGATTATAGCATAATGATGTGGATATATTTCTTAGCTAAAACCTCAGAAGAATTTTCAGTTTTTACTCAGTTTTAAGCTGATGCAGAAAAGCATAGTGGTTTTTCATTAAAAGCCTTGAGAACATATCCAGGATGAGAATTTACATCAAAAGAATTTTGGAATTTTTGAAAAAAGGATGGAATCAGAAGCCAGTTGACAACATATACTCTACAATAAAATGGAGTAGTAGAGAGAAGAAACAAAACAATAGTTGAAATGGCTCGAAGTACATTGAAAGGTAACAACCTTCCTAATAAATTTTGGGCTGAAACTGTTTATAGTGCTATCTATATTTTGAACATGTCTCTTACCAAATCCCTCCAAAATAAAACACCTTTTGAGGGATGGTTTAAGAGAAAACTAAAAGTAAATTATTTAAGATTTTTTGGATGTATTGCTTATGGAAAAAGTACTTCTCAATATAGAGAAAAATTTGATGAAAAAGGTGAAAAATATATCTTTGTTGGATATAATGAAGTTTCAAAAGTTTATCGTCTTTAAAATCCAAAAAAATTGGTAATTTCCAGAGATGTTATCTTTGATGAGAAAAATGAATGGATCTGTAATGAAAAATCTGGCCAAAAAAAAAATTTTTTAGAGAATAATGATTCACATAAAAGTCCAGATACAAGCGTTTCAACTCCAAGTCAAGAAAGTCCGAGACAAGTAAGTCCAAGTTCAAGTTCTTAAGATTTAGAGACGCCTCCTAGAAAAGTAAGGTCTCCTTCAAATATTTATGAATCATGTGTTGTTGCTTTCTTTTCTAGTGAACCACAAAATTTTGAAGAAGCAGCTAAAGAAAAAATTTGGTTACATGCCATGAATGAAGAAATTTCCATTATAAAGAAAAATAATACATGGGAATTAGTAGATCATCCAAAAGGGAAAGAAATAATTGGTTTGAAATAGATTTACAAAACCAAATATAATGAAGATGGGTTCATTCAGAAGCATAAAGCTCGACTGGTGGCAAAAGGCTATTCACAGCAACCTAGAATAGATTTTAATGAAACGTTTACTCTTGTTGTCAGAATGGAAAACCATTCGAACTATTTTGGACATAGCTGGCCAATTAAAATTTCCAATTTTTCAGTTAGACGTAAAATTTGCTTTTTTGAATGGGGAACTTGAAGAATTAGTTTATGTTGAACAACCATTGACTTTTGTTGAAAAATGAAATGAAGAAAAAATTTATAAACTGAAAAGGCGTTATGTGGATTACAACAAGCTCCAAGAGCCTGGAATAGCAAAATTGATAAATAATTTCAGAAAAATAGATTTGAAAGGAGCCCAAGTGGACCTTCACTTTATGTGAAAAAGGGAAGTGAAAATTCCTTCCTAATCTTATGCCTTATGTGGATGATTTGATTTATACTGGTACAGACAAAAAAATGATGGAAGAATTTAAAAAAGCCACAATGAAAAAATGTGAAATGACTGATTTGGGAATTATGAAATATTTTCTTGGAATCCAAGTAAAATAGTTAGATGGAGAAATATTTATCTCTCAAGAAAAATATGTTGAAGATCTCTTGAAAAGATTCAAAATGTCAAATTGCAAGCCAATGAGTACTCCAATGACAGTGAATGAAAAATTATTAAAATGTGATGGTGCAGAAAAAGTTGATACATCGATTTATCCAAGCTTGGTTGGATCTTTAATTTATCTAACTAATACAAGGCCTGATATTGTGCATGCAGTCAGCACTTATTCCAGGTTCATGAATGAACCAAGTAAAGTGCATTAAAAGATTTTAAGATATATCTAGGGAACAAAGAAACACGATATCAAATATATTTTTGAAAACAATACTAATCTTGTTGGATTTTCTGATAGTGATTAGGCATGTTCTATTGATGATCTGAAAAACACTTCCGGCTCTATATTCTTCCAAAGTACAAAAGTGATATCACAGTCATCAAGAAAGTAAAATATTGTGGCTCTATCAACAGCAAAAGCTGAATACATCATAGTAACAAGTGCAACATGTGAAGCTGTTTGGCTTAGAAAAAGTTTATTAAACTTGCAATAAAAGCATAATACCCCCACAACAATTTTCAACGACAACACGTTAACCATTGCAATAACAAAAAAATCCAATATTTCACAGCCAATCGAAACATATATAAATATGACATCATTTCATCAGGGAGCTAAAAGGAAAATGAAAAATAAAGACAAAATTTATCAACACAAATGACCAGCTTACAGACATCTTTATGAATACAACTACAATAAATAAATTTATCCAGTTCAAAGATATAATGAGAATGACAAAATAAGAGGGATGTTGGAAACTAATTTATCTCTCTCTAGAACCATCACCGCCATCTCATCTCCTCTTTCTCTAGAATCTTCGATAGAACCATCACTGCTATCTCATCTCTTCTCTTTCTCTAGAATCTTCCCTTACACTTAATGAGAGGCGGTGCATGAAGTTAAGTAGAAATGTGGTGGTAAAACCGCCAACTAACCTGCTTTACCGCCAAATTAACGTGCTTAAAAGGTGGTCCATCAATGGCCCAAGGAGCTTGTGCATACAAATAGAAATGAGAGAGCCAAAAAGGTGTCAAAGTGTGGTCTTCAAGACCACACTACATCACTGTAACCTGTTATAACTTTTGCTTCAAACACAATAGTGAAATTTCTTGTGGGAGTGAATATTGCTTCCTCCTCACCCCTATTATCCTATTTTCCGATCAAATTATTATATCAATATTTCTGCAAATTTCCGATAAAAGCAAAACCCCAAGCCTATAAAAGAGAGACCAGCCAAGCAACAGACTTGCCTAGATGTTTCATTCATCACATTTTCATCTCCAATTTCTCCTTTGAATTCATGTCCTTCTGATTTTAAAGATAAATAAACGCCGAGAGAGTCTTTCGAACAAAAGAAAAACAGAGACTCGAAAAAAAACTTTGCCTCACAATTTTGGGAAAAAAAAAAGAGAGCCTACTAGGGTTTTGAGGACCACCAAATTCTCTCTCTCTAGATTTCATCATCTCAGACCAGCACTATCTCCTGCTTGAGAGTCACATATCTCCATTTCTCTTTCTCCACAAAATCTGCATCAAGAAATCTCCCCACAAAACTCCACAGCCTATAAACATCCTCAAAACTGCTCAAGAAACTCAAGCTCACACTCACAACCCTAATTTTCTGAAACCCTAATTCCACTCTCTGCAAATCCCAACACCCAACAGATATATCATGCCTATCAGCAAGCTTCTGAAATAGGAAAGGATCCACCATCGCACCTTCCCAATCAAAAACATTAAAGGCAACACTGTAACCTCTATTAAACTTAACCTTAGGCCCATATATCTTAATCAATGGGAGCCCAATATCTTCATTATTTAATGGTGGGTGGTGCAATTTCAATAGTGCATGCACCAGCCAGTTCACTAAACATCTGAGCTTGTTTCTCTCTCTAGAAAGCCCCACTGTGTCAGTTTGATCAAGTCCATCACATTGAAGCTTAACTGTGTGTCCACTGTCATTTCCTGCAGATTTCTTCTCAGAAAAAACGCCATAAGAGAATGATGAAGAGGATGAAAAGTTAGATAGACAAGAAGATGAAGAGGTAGAGAGGGAAATTGAGGGAGATGGGTTCTCATCGATGGGTACCAGGCATGCGATCCCAGTCGTCGAGACCTGAGAATCAAGGAGGGAGAGTGTGGGTCTTTTGATGAGGAGGGTGCAAAGCCCAGTAGGGTCATGGCCAAATACCTTGTAGAAAGATGAGATTATGAAATCTGGTTTGTAGAGAGAGAGAGCAATGGACTTCATCTCCTTGGGGCCCAAACCAGAGGAATCCAACACCACATGCCAACCCTCTTCTTGTGCAACCCCAACCCATTGATATGAATGCCTTGCTCCTGTAACCCTAGATTGTAATTGCACCACAAACATGCCTCTTCCACAAGCTCTCTCTCTCTTGTTTCTCTCACTACCACCATAACTCTTCCCATAACAAATTTCTCTCTCGAGCTGATCTCCGCGCAAGCTTAAGGAAGGCCATTTGAAAGACGCAGACTTAGCAATTGCACCTTTCTTCACTGCTATCTCCTTCATTAAGCTCAATCCATGGCTATTATAATCACAAACTGAGAGAAGCCTGGTTTTGTGAGAGAAAGGATACGACTCAGCTAAAAGCTTGAAAGCTGATTCTCTATTTACAGCAAAAACCATGGCGTAATCCTTCTGTTCAACATTCAAAAACTCCATGATTCTCTTCTTCATCTGGCTTTCGAAGGTTAGGGTGTCAGGGTCACCATAGAGAGAATGAAGAACTAAGTTTCCATACTTGGAAATTGGCCTGAAATCAAAATTAGGGTTTTTTTCAACGCCTGAAAAAAGCCCGACACCAAAGTAGTCAAAGAAAACACGGTTAGTGGTTTTGAGATGAGGGTAAAAGCGGTCACGGATTCCATCGGTGGTTTCGGATTCTTCTTGGTAGTTCTGGAAGGCCTCTGTGAAGTGGGAAAAAGCGGTTCTGAGAGAGGGAATGGCCTCTGGGTTGGTGATGTGTGATTTTGGAAAAGCGGTTTTGGAGAGGAGAGAGATGAAAGATTGGTAGTGAGAGAGAGTTGAAGCGCGGTTAGAGGGTTTTTTCGAGGGTTTGGTGGTGGAGGAGATGGTGATGGTGATGCAGGTGCAGCCTCCTCTCTGTGAAACGATATCTGCATGTTTTTTGGACATTGGGGTGGGGGGAGAGAGGAGGATAGAGAGAGTAGAAATTTGAGGGAGAGAAGAGGGGGAAGACAGAAGAGAGGGGATAACAGGGAGAGGGGGAGTGAGATAAGATGTAGGAATCAAAATTTAATAGTAGAGTGGGGGAGAGGGACCACCAAAAAAAAATAGGGCTTGGGCTACAAACTATGGTTGGAGGGCTTGGTTAGGTCCAATGCTGGCCAGTTTCAGCCCATCTTGGCCCTCGTTTGTTTTTGTTTGTCCGGCCCTAACAAGGCCACGATTGGGCCTGGGCCAGCCTTCGGGGACATGGGGGAAAACAGAAGAGAGGGGTAGCAGGGGGAGGGGGAGAGGTAGAATCAAATTTTAATATTAGAGAGGAGGAGGGAGAGGGAGAAGGAAAGAGGGACCACAAAAAGTAGGGCTTGGGCCATAAATTATGGTTTCCATGGCTTGGTTAGGTCCTATGCTAGCCTGTTTTGACCCATCTTGGAGGCTTTGATTGGGCTTGGGCGGGCCCTTGGGGGACACAAGGGAAGACGGTAGAGAGGGGGTAGCTGGGCGAGGGGGGAGTGAGAGAGAGGTCTAGAAATCAAAATTTAATAGGAGGGAGAGGGAGGAGAGGGAGAGGGATAGGGATAGGGATAGGGATAGGGATATGGATAGGGGGACCACAAAAAATTAGGGCTTGGACCATAAACTATGGTCGGAGGCCTTGGTTAGGTCCAAAGCTGGCCCGTTCTGGCTCATTTAGGCCCTATTTTTTTTTTTTGTCCCTGTCCTAACAAGGCTAAGATCGAGCTTGGGTCTGCCTTAGGGGGACAAGGTCCGGACTAGGGTTAGGACTGGCCCGGCCCACTGCCACCATTAGATGGAGGGTTGACGTGGCTTTGGATGATGATTATGACAACTTTAAACCCAAATTTCTTTGAGTGGTTGTTGGTTTTGTTTGTAATTATTAAAGTCTACTTGGTTTTGATTTATGAAGAAAGGATGACTGATTCTAACACATCCAAAAAGCAAGAGGACAATTAAAGAGTCACAAACGCGTGGGGTTGTCCATGGACGAGCTTCACCTTAATTAATTATTGTAATATGTAATTATAATGACATCCCTCTCACCTTAATTATATTTTAAGTGCGTGTAAAGCATAAACATGGCAGGGGGTACGATGTCACAAGGCCACTCTATCATTAGATACTAAGAGTGAAACTTGGAGCAGGGACCCTTCCTCTCTCCTCAGTTTGTACAGGGCCTCTGGACCATTCGGATTCGTATGGGCCCTAACCCCCCTACTGAAAAAAACAATTTTAGGCCCAATTTGTATAAGGTTGTACTATCGATTTGACACAAAGATAGTGTCGATACATATCTTTTGAGATAAGGTCCAAACACCGTAGTAAAGGGAAAGGTTCGTATAGAGCCCAGGCTCTAAACAATCAAATTAGAGCCTACATCAAAAATTTCACTAAAAGAGGTTGTTTTGATGGCCCCAATATCCTTAAATTCATCATCTAGATATCAAGATGCATGGACATGAGAAAAAAATGGATTTCAAGTTTTGAAAATAGTGTATTTTGTAACGCATTTTTGGACCGTCAATTTTCAAGATTTTCAAGTTTTCATAGATCTGCCACTCTGTACTATTTTTTGAGCTTTAAATTTTATAAATAAGGGGAACGGTTTCTATGCTTCCCCTACAGCATAGAGTTCTCTCCTCCCCCTACCAACCAGCCGTCCAATTTTGATTAAGAGAGCCATTCACCGTTTGATCTTAGATCCGACGTCTCAAAGTATTTTATTTTTAGTTTTTTTATAAAAATTTTATTAATATGAAATTTGGGAATGTCATGCAACTATAAAAAATATTAAAAATAATTTTTCAATAAAATATAATGACCAAAATACCCCTTGAATCTTTCAAGGGTATTTGGTCATTTTATTTTATTGATTTTTTTTTTTTTGGCTAGTGCAAGTTTAATAGTGAAATGGATGTCCAAAATTTGGGGTCAAAATATTTTATAAAAAAATTAAAAATAAAATAGTGTGGAGACGTGATATTGTGATTGGGGCAATCTTAGCCCTCCATTCAGAACGGACGGTTGTAAAGGGGAGGATAGAACTTCGATGCTGTAGGAGAAGCATAGAAAGCTGGCCCTGTAAATAAATATGAAAATATATTTTTAGACTATCACAACTCAACATTATTCGAAGGTAAGCTCTAATTTGATTATTTAGAGCCAAGGATTTATACAAACCGTACCCATAAATAAAATAAATGATATAGATTACTATAACCTTATTTCTACAAATAAGGTTGCAACCTTATATTCGGTTATGGAGATAAGTACTCATTGTTAAATATGATGTGGATTATGTAGGTTGTATTGGTAAGGGAAGAGATAGTATTGGTCAATCACAAATATGGGAATGGTTATGCAAATAAGGAGGTGGTTGTGAGGAATTTAATATGGTAGATTGGTAGGAGATCTACCATTGAATTTTGAAATCATAGATGGTTGGATCCAAATATTCTAAAAGTCAATAGAGAGAGCTTTTTAAGAAATCTATCAATCCGGTAGTAAAGGTGGAAGATGTTTGTTGTTGGTCTTCGAATGGGGTCGCTTGGGATATTCGTCTTTGTTATAATAGGGTGTCGGATAGTATGATCACGCAGTTTTATTACCTTATGATTGAGCTATTAGCAATATATGTCTCCCAATATCACGATGACAAGGTTGTGTGGGATCTAACCAATGATGGGATTTTCACGATAAACTCAACGTATCTTTTGTTATTCCATGATAGAGTTGGATGGGAGCAGGCAAGCCTTAAAGCTTTATGGAATTGGTGTAGTCCTCATAAGGTCTAGATTTTCTTATGGATTTTGTCTCAAAATAACGAATTGACGAAGGATAATCTGAGACGAAAGGAAAAAATCATTGTCAATTGCTACACTTTACGTAAAGAGGACAAAGAGAATGGTGATCATTTATTTCTCCATTGTTGTTTTACTAGTTTGATTTGGAGGTGGGCACTTCGCTTAATTGGCTTCTTGATTCCTCTACCTGAACAACACATTCATATTATTGATTATCTCTCTATGCCCTCTTTGCCTAAGTTGGATGCGGTATTGCAGCAGATTTTTGGACCTTCAATCTTATGGGAGGTGTGGTTGGAGAGAACGACGATGTCTAGAGAAAGTTCATGTTCAAGAGAAGATCATTCATGATGTTTGGTTCTGGCTATTTAATTCCAAAGAAGTTTTTGATATTTCTAAGATTGATGTACTTCTTAACCTTCGGTTTTTGGTTCAATAGAAAGCATATAGACCAGTAGTGGCTATGTGAAGTTTAATTTTTAGGAGTTTCTTTGTGAATCCAGGGCCATCGGGGTGTTGTGGTGTAGTGAGAGACCATTCAGTAATTGAGATGTTTTTCTTCCATAGTCCATGTGGTACAGTGACTGCCAATAAAGCTAAGATGTTGGCTGTATTACAAAGAATAAAATTATTAAAAGAGCGTTGTCCGAAAATGGGCCGGTTGGTGGAAGGGGATTATTTAAATGTCATCAATTGGTACTTTGGGATTAGCAAGCCACTTTGGAGCTTAAAGAAGTATTGGTTACAGGTGATGGATTTATGTAAGAATTAGTTGGTTGCTTTCAATCATGTTTATAAAGATGCTAATGAGAGGGCTGATCTTCTTACAAAAGAAGGGGTTCAGATATATTGTATTTTCATTTCCACAATATAATCGTCATATTGGATTTTGATTAATAAAGTTATATGCACTTGTCAAAAAAAAAATGGTTGCAAAAAAAAAAACAAAAACAAAAACGTATATGATATTTTCTTATGTCCCCTTAAACCCCCACGCCATCAACCTTATTTTTTTATTTGTTTATTCTATTTATTTTGAAAACAAAAAATTGACTCACCAAGTTGGACCGATCCAGGTCCGATCGGGATCATCAATTCAATGATTTGACACGAATTATGGGCGAACAATCTGCCCCACTGATCCAGGTTTTAAAACACCGGTTTTAAACCATCTTGCTAATTGTTGTTCAACACAATGATGCGTTTTCAATCGAACTTTTAGATGCAGTGGACTGATTTAGACACATGTTTATATATTATAAATAGAGTAATGATCCTATGAGACCCTCTCACACTCATGTATATAGAACCCCAAAGGATCACCATTAAATATAACACAGATCTCTAAAAAATCAAGTCTCACACCCATGTGATAACTTTGCTAGAGATCTGTGTTAAATTTAATGGTGATCCTTTGGGGTCCTACAGACATGGGTGTGGGAGGGTCTCATAGGATCATTACTCTTTTAAACATTAATAAATTTTACTTTTTCATCTAGACCCAGACCCACGCCAACCTAGTGGGTCAATTTGGGTCCAACCAAGACCCAGTCACATAGGCTTGGGGGTTAGGGTTGACCTGGACCTGACTCAATCCATTAAAAAAGATTAAAATATCATATTTTTTTTAAAAAAAAACGTGTTAGCATGCTCCCTAAGGAGTATAAGTACAACTCCCTCGAGCAAAATAGGTTCTTGGGAGAAATTGTTTACTCAAAACTTTGGGATCTATCTAAGAGATGATTATTTTCAAATAACAAAATTTGGATTTTGAGTTCTTGAACATTAAGATCTTTCCCTCCATAAATTCAACAAAGGCACATAGAGGTTCCAAGTTTATTTGTTTCTTCTCTAAGGTTGGCTACTAGGTTCAAGAGATTATATCTCCAAAATTTAGACTCTAAAACATATTTCCAAGATGTGTTTTGTTCAAAATTTGGGATCTAAAATATATTTCTAGGATGTGTTTTTGTCCAAGGTTGTAGATGGGCTGTGTATTCGAGTAGGAAACCTTCTGGCGTTTAAACCCGGGTTTCAACTGCGCCTCTCTCTCTCTCCCTTGTGAAATATAATTAAACAAAAAATTCAATATGTTTTATGTACATGAATATTTATCGTTTCCAATGTTTATTTCTTTTTATGTATTTATTAGAATTTTATTTTTATATTAAAGAAAGGTAAATCTAGCGTACTGCATCTAATA